AAACTAGAATATCTGTCCCAAAACATTTTTGAAAAATTTTCATTAAAAAACAAAACACATAATTGCAACATTCTTTTAAAGCACAACCTGCTCAGTTTTGAAAACTTAAAATATCCAAAATTCCTTCTGTGACATGCAAAGTTTTACATGGGCTAGCTCCAACACCACTAAAGGACTATAAAACAGAAAATATGTATGTGTATGAAACACCGGAGCAATCTCCAGAGGTGATTGTGAACTGCATTTTAGGTGGACTGTATTCGGACAAAAATTAATGAAAGTAGTAATCACTGGAACAGTTAACCACGATGAGTCAGAATCTCCCATCTTCATTACACTGAAGAATCTGAAATCTTGGATTAGGCTGAACCACATTTAAGATTACATGTGGTATCCCTTGTCTAGATAATAGAGCTGTGTGCACTTTTAATTGATAAGTAGAAGCTTTTGAGAATGTTTTAATAGAGTAGCATGTCATTTTAGTACAAACCTAGGTGTTTTACTTATTTACGTTTTACTTAATTTTGCACATTAAGTAGTAGGAGTTCTTAGCATATGTAGTCGGACAATGTACTGTGTTCACATGTACGTTCTGATACACACTGGAGCTTTATCTCACATGCTCTTCTAATGAACAATGGCACAAGAAAGTGCATCTTCCATGCACACTAGCTCTGTTGATTGCCCCACCTGAATTCATGAATTATCTTTGTACTAGTAGTGTGCATTGACTTTTCTTAACATCCATCCATCCATTTTCCGATCCGCTTCATCCTCAAGAGGGTTGCGGGGGGGGGGGGGGGGGGGGGGGGGGGGCTGGCAGCCGTTTTTGGGCAGTAAGCGGGAGACACCCTGAACTGGTTGCCGGCCAATTGCAGGGCACATAGAGACGAACAACCATCTGTGCTCACGCTCACACCTATGGACAATTTAGAGTGTTCAATCAGCCTGCCATGCATGTTTTTCGAATGTGGGAGGAAACCAGAGTACCTGGAGAAAACCGGGGAGAGCATGCAAACTCCACACAGGGAGGCCGGAGCCGGAATCGAACCCGGTACCTCTGCACTGTGAGGTTAACGTACTAACCACTGGCTCACCGGGCCGCCCTTTTTTTCCCCCCATTGAAAGTGTTGCATCAAACTTGTCAAAGGATTGCAAATGTAAATTTTTGGGCCATCTCTAATTTGGCACAGGGATGGCCTACTGGCGGCGGCCTGCGACCACACTGCGAGTGACCCCTCGATTATATATTCATAAAATAAAAATGGTTTGAATAAAGTATATATATTTTTAAACTGTTTTCCCAAAAAAGCGCTGATGAACATATGTTTTCAATGAAAACCGGCGAAAGGGGAGCGAGGGGATGGATAAAATATTCCCAGAAGAAAATAGGAAAGCCGAAAATATTGAGGAAAAAAAAAATCAGCAAATTTGCAGGTGCACTTTGCATCGACTGTAGTTTAATACGTATTACCATTGACCACTCGATTTCAGGCATTGCTTAATCCTCTATCTCAGGGGTCCCCAACCACCAGTCCGCGGACCGGTACCGGTCCGCAGGGCATTTGGTACCGGGCCGCACAGAAAGAACTTGCCTTATTTCCGTTTTATTTATTTCGGAATGAGAAAGATATTTTAATTTGAAAAATTACCGGATTCTCTGTTACATCCGTCTGTGTCACGCTTGACTCACGTCAAGCCACACTTCTCGGTCACGTGACCGATGACGCTCAAAAACAAAACGCTGAAGCCCGCAAAATGAGTAAAAAAGCTGCTTGGAGATCGCAAATGATGGTGGCCGTAACCCTTGTGCTGCAATTTCTACGATGTTTGTAACACATGGGTTACCCCATATGTTACAATTTCTACAATTTTTGTAGATTTTTGCGTATTGTCATCTTTAAATCAAAGACACAGCATAAAAAGTGTGTGATATGAAATATTCCAATTCATGTTTTATTTATATAGATTTATATTTATGTTTTGGTCATAGCACAATACCGCTTTTATTGTCCATAGAGGGCAAAAATACAAAGAAAAAAATAAGAACTATATGTGTATGTATAGCACTGATGCCACTGAACATGTCGAGTGGTTGAAAGTGAAATAAATATTCAGGAATAATACTTTTACAATTTTTGTAAAATTGTATGTTGCGTTATATAAACTTATTTAGATCGACTGCAGCACATTACCAGAGCGATAAGAGTGTTGCGACCAGCTTGTGCTCCTTGTGTTTATTATTATATTTTGAAAACACCACAGTTTTCATGCAGCTCATACCATATTATTTTGTTGTATTAATCCGCCACACCTTAAATGCCGGTCCCTGAAAATATTGTCTGACTTAAACCGGTCGGTGGGGCAAAAAAGGTTGGGGACCCCTGCTCTATCTCACTGAATTATTCTGAAGGCTTCCCAAGTGTGTGCACATGAAGTGAATGGGTTTTTTTTTCCCATTAGTGTTCGTTCTAGGTCACAAACGGTCGCAAAAATGTTCGACAACAATTTTAAGTATCTCAAACAGTTTTTCTTGTCGCCAACAAATTTTGACAAGAAAAGCGTTTTACGAACATTAAAACTGTTTGTTAATGTTGCGAACGTCTTTGCAACCTTGAATGAACGATAATGAAAAAAAAAACGTTCACTAAATGTGCACACACTTGGAAGCCTTTGACCCTCAGTGAGACTTTAGTTGCACTGACATTGAGTTTTATACTGCCCTATACTGTGGTGCAATGTGAGTAGACCTAATATTTTTGGAATGCTATGCAGGACATAGTACCTCAATTATATTAATATTTTCTGTTGACTTTTGTGAAAAAAGCACAAATAAGTTCTTGCACTTAATGTTAGATTAGATTTATTGATCCCTTTAGGGGAGTTTGTCTTTACCGACGATACATTACAGAGAGGCACCATTGCACATCCTGTAACAGACAACAAAAAGAACAATAAAACCGCTTGAGACAAAGACAAGGCAGTATCAGACATGAAGGTCAACGATGTCTGTTATTCAGGGTGGCTATTGCTGCAGGATCATCTTTACCCAAGGCAAGCCTTCCTAAATTTAATAGTTCTGTACCTGCTTGCTTGATGGACCTGTTAAATCTGTGAGCTTGGGTGTAGGGCAGGGGTGTCAAATCATTTCACATTGTGGGCCACATACGGCCTCGGTAGATGTCAAGTGGGCCGGACCATTAAAATTATACCATACTCTGCTATAAATAACCAAAATAATATGTCTTTCATTTTTTGGGGGGTCTAAAGAAGCACAAGAACATTAGGAAAATTGTGAAATTTAATGAACATATCTTTTACAAAAGATTTCATGAAGCACCTTAGATTTCTTTAGACAAATGTGCAATTTACTTTTATCATTCACATATATGCATTGCAATTGATCCCACTGATTGTCGAAAGGCACAAAACTTTAACAAGTAATTGGTATTGAAAAATATAGTAATGCACTTTAAGATTAAACGAGATTTACGAATAAAGGAATTTTTAAACCATTTACACATGTGCATATAAAATCTAAATGTAATCCCTGCCTACACCTTACAAACTAAGGAGAGTGCTATTAATATGTAAAGAATAAAATATTCACATGTCCTTGATAGTGTCTGCAGTGTTGGGTCAGCCTCAGTGACAGACTAATGCTGCTGTTGTCTTCTTCTCTGATCAAAACAGCGTTGTCTTCTACTCTGATCAAAACAGTGTGTCCCATAGCGGATACTCCATGAATTGCACCTCATTCAAAATATTCATTCCGTGTCTTTTATGCATTTTTTCACTTTTAAATTATCCTGCGGGCCTGATCGAACCTCCTTGGGGGCTTTTTCCGGCCCGCGAGCCATATCTTTGGTCTCCCTACCCTGTAGGGACACCAACGAGTCTGGCACCTGTGTTTGTGATGCATCTGAATTTGGACTGGTTAGTTTCAGAAAGCTACTATGGAGTTGTTGTTCTAACTTATGCGCTCACACAATACGATACAATACATCTTTATTTATATGGCCAATAACCATGCTTTATCACACATGTACTACATATGGTGACGTTCAAAAGTCTGTGAAATATTTCCTGAATGTGCTTGACAAATTCAATCACTCTTCTGAACAGAAAAGACTTGAAGTGCACAGTGGAGTCTGGTATGTATCGTGGCACAGCCAGGATGTGGCAGCGTTGCGCTCTGTTGGTGCAATGCATAGAACAGGGGTGTCCAAACTTTGAGGGCCACTTTAAAATTATTCAACTTTTTGAAACACGCTAAACAAAATTTGTAAACAAGAAAGGTAAAAAGATTTTTTGACATATACTCTACTTCAAGTTGTTCATTTGAAGGTCGCTGATGGTGCAGTGGTACACTCTATTTACAGCGTGAGATCGGTTCCCTCTCAATGACGGTGTGAATATGGTTTCGTCACTATCTGTTCCCTGTAGCTGACTGGCGTCCAGTTCAAAGTGTAGTCCGCCTTCCGAAATTGGCTTCCGAATAGCACCCTCTTCCATGCTAACCTGTTTCGGACAAACGATGTAGAAAATGGATGGAGTTTTATTTGATTCTTTCGACATGGTTTACATATATTTACTTACATCTTAGGTCTTAGCAAAAAGTATTTTATTCAAGTATTCAGTACTTTAAGTAAACTTTTCTATACTAAATTGGAGGCCGTAGTTTTTTTTAAGTGTCACTTTTAAATATTTAATAAATCCAGTAGTACATGACGAGCTGCATTAAAACGGTCATGGGTCAAAATTATTTTTTTGGTGATAATACACACTTGGCCTGTGTGTACGTTTTTTACATATTCTTTACCAACGTATTTTTACGGAAGAGAATTCGGGCCAATGAAGAAAAAAAAATAAGGTTGGCAAGATTCTCACTTTAATCTCAGAATTCTGACTTTAAAGTTTTTTTTTTTATCATTGGTCCTAATCCTCTTCCATATATTTTGACCTAGTGAATTGCCGTATTTAGCGATCAAGATGGCCGACCTACTGCGCATGTGCACATGAGAGCGTGCGAATGTCGACGGTGTAGTTTCTCGTCCCTTACTACAGGCGACTCCGTTCGAGTCCTGACAGTGCTACCTTTCACAAGTGTATACATTGTCATACACGTTCGATTCGAAATAGACACCAGAACATGGCGACATTTCTGAGGGTCATCAATTTCTCTAAGCAGGTATGTGACAAAACTCGTTGCCTTGTTTACATTATACGATAGCGAAGTAGTTTGAACAATGTCGTCGTTACTGTTTTAACTAGCGTCCTACTAGAGATGTGGCCGTGGAGCAATGTCAAATTTGTTTGTCCTGTCTGTAGATCTGTCACTGTTTCACACCGCTGCATCGATATTGTTCTCCTCTAAAAAAAGCCCAAATTTTAAAGAAATACGTGACACTCACCGACTTGTTTGCTAGTCCCAATCAGTTGCAAGACATGAACATGATAAAATATATGAAGTCAATAAAACCTAAACGATCACAGCTGCACTCGAACTGGTGACGCAACGAAATAAAAGTCCAATCCCTTTAACCCATAAGGTGTCACATTTTGAGCAGCGAACAATTTGGACTGGTGATGGTCAAGACCGTTTGGTAAACCGGGTGTTGTTAAAATGTGCTGTTAAGTGTTATTCACTTCGGTCAGGCCAGCTCCCACTCCGAAAGACGAAGTCACGTCAGCAGTCACAGCGATTAATAATACTATGCATTACGGTAATGCGCCGCCAGCAAGTGGCGTTGGCCACCTTCACAAAGCTGAACAATTGCACGGACAACAGCCTTTGGATTGAAATGTAATGAAATAACATCAATGCAGCGAGGCAACCAGTTCTTCCGGGAACCGGTTCACCAAGGGAGCTCGCCCAACATTGCGCCCAGAAACGTTCTGAAGTTGAGTAGAAGTTAATGCTAAATCTGCATCAAAGACTGCAATCACACATTATTTCAAAAATATCGTTAAAAATGCCATTTTTGTTATGTTACAACCAGGCCAGTTTAGGGCACACTACACCCCGCCAGGTATCCAAACAAAGAACTTTAATACGAACCTGGTGTTGTAATTCAAAATAAAACTCCTCTGAAATCTGCAATTTTGACCATTACATCTGATTTTAAAATTCATGAAAAATTAAAATGTTATTCTGCAACCAGACCAGTTCTTTGGCACACGAGACCACCCATGGTATTGAATCAAAGTACACTAATCTGATGTTGTATTTCAAAATAAATAGAATCTGCAATTACGCAGATGTTCGGAGGCAGGGGTCGCACTGCAATAATGGCTGTTTATTGCACTTATTGTCTTTTTCTTAATAAACTCATATCTGCTTATTTTAACTGTCAATTCGTCCTTCATACGCTTTCGTGTTTCTCTCTCGCGTTCTCTCTTTCACTTTCTCGCTCGCACGCCTTCCTGTTTCTCACTCGCTTTCTCTTTCACTTTCTCGCTCGCTGGCTCTCAACTCGGCGGCCAGATGGCTCCTCCCACAGCTGCAAATCATGTTTTCCAAGCGCATGAGAGCTGACTCGGACACTTTCATTGGTCCAATCTCCAACGTGATGTTTACCATCATTTCATTGGTCAGATGTACAGAAACAAGAATGGGTACCGGTAAATCGATTGATGGCTTGCTATTCGTCAGTAAAAATCCATAAATAAGACTAGTCGCATTTAAAGCTGCAAGGTTCAAAGTTTTGAAAAAAATAACTGCCTTTTGTCTGGAAAATGCGGTATCCAACCAAGGTACTTTCAAACAAATCTGATGTTGCTTTTCAAAGTATAACTGATTAAAAAAAACAAATTGAAATTAGGATATCCCGCAAATAAATGAGTTCTTGTGTACACTAGATAATCCAACCAAAGTAGTTCAAATCTGAATTGAAATCTGCAATTGTAACCATTATCCGCAAATTAAAAACAAAAAAAGACATTAAAAACTTCACATTTCATTATTCCGCATATAGATATGTTCTAATGCACACGAGGCAACTCCAGATATTCAATCAAAATACTTCCACACAAATCTGATTTTGCATTTAAAAGCAAAGTGCCCTGGAAGTCCCGAATTTTGATGGTTTACACCTGATTTCTAAATAAATCATTAAAAAGTTAAATTGTTATCCCACACCAGACCGGTACAAAGGCACACGAGACAACTCAAAATTAACCATATATATATATATATATAAATAAAAAATGCAACCTCCTGGAGGAGTTGTCATCACACTCTTGGAGTAATTTTAGTTGCTCGACCACACCTGGGAATGTTTGCCACTGTTTCAAGTGTTCTCCATTCGTGAATAATGGCTCTGACAGTGGTTTGCTATACCCCCAGCGTCTTGGAAATGGCTTTGTAACCTTTTCCAGACTGATAGATTCAAATAACTTTTTTTTTTTCTAATTTCTTCTCAAATTTCTTTGGAACATGGCATGATGCGTTAGTTCCTTGAGATCTTTTAGCCGACTTCACTTTGTCTGACAGATTTTATTGATTTGATTTTTTGATTCAACAAATTTGGTGCTGGGTGTTGCCTGTGAAATTGAACTCAGCTTTCCCAAAACTGTTATTATTCGCAGTTGTTTTGTGATTTAACAATGGGGGATAATTACTTTTTCACAGAGGGTCAGCAAAGTTTGGATTTTTTTTGTTCCTTGACAAATTGAATTGTCATTTGAAAACTGCATGTTGTATTTCTTTGAGTTGTCTCTGAGTGATGTTAAAGTGGGTTTGATGATTTGAAACCTTTGTGTGGATAGATGTGCCCACCAACCCCCCGAAAAAAAAAAAACATACTTTTTCACAGCACTCTACTTCCTATATTCAAATGACCAAGATTTCTTTAAATTTGAGCCTGCGCAGAACACAAATGATTTCTGTCAGTCAGGATATTCTGACACTCATTTATTTGACAAAATGTTTGTATTAGAAAAGGAGTAACCCAGGGCTCTTATTTGGGTTTTTAAAAAAACGCAATATGAGCATACTCGGGTTTTTAAAGAACTAGAATATGAGCATATTCGGATTTAAAAAGCCCCAGAATATTTTGGTTTAGAAAAACCTGAATAAGACCGTATTCAGGGTTTTGCAGGTGTTTACATGGGCTCGCACAGTCAGATTATTGCTAATATTCTAGTTTTGAAAGCATTATTTACTGCATGTAGACATAGTCATTGTTATCACTTTGTGTTTTTTTTTTTTTTTTTTTTTTTTTTTTTTGTAGCTCCGCGGCTTTCGTGTTGCGTGGATTCACCCATTGCCTCAACACACGCAGCTTCCTATCATCAGTGATGCAACTAATAAGGTAAATTTTGCTTCTGCTATTAGAAAAAAGATCAGTAAAAAAATGTGACCAGGTAGGGTAAATGGGAGATGTGTGTGTGATCTGTTCAGAGTTGAAATTCCACTTAGCCATCACCCGCTCTGATGCGGTTAACGGAGGGGACGGGAATTTTCCTTAACTAGCGCTAGAGGGACTAGTCTAAGTTTCTCACAACCTCAGTCAGTCCTGTTTTAAGCCCTTTCATCCACCTTTATTGAGTAACCTTAATAGAAGTAAGGCGAACGTCAGGCCACTTCCTTTTTACGGTAGCTCCCTCAGTAAATCTGGTGCATTTGTTAAGGCTTAGATGGATTTTTACTGTCTTTGCCAAGACTGTAAGGACGCGTTTATAATTTGATCCAAAGCCGGAGTAACTACTTAGATTCATGAATAGCAGCAACCGATGCTTTGAGTTTAGCCGTTATTCCATTTAAGAGAGTATGAGTGTGTCATAAAATAATAAGGGTGACAAGAGTAAATTTAATTTATATTTTTAACGCTTCAGTAGCAAAGCATAATTTGAACTACAATCATCAATCAAATAAGATGGAGCGAAATGAATAGATAGGAATCAAAATGTGAAAATTATTGCAGCAATTAAATATTACAAGTATCAAATGGTTAAATTATAATTTTCGAAGATTTAATAGCAAAGCAATAATGCAAACCATAATTATCAATCAAGTAAGATGGAGGGTATTGAGTTGATAATCATCAAAATGTGAAAATTATGACAGCAATTTAAATGATACAAAAATCCAATGGTAAAATTATAGTTTCGAAGATTTGATACCGACACAATAATTAAAACCATAATCATCAATCAATTAAGATGGATCACATTGGGTTTGCTCTGGTGAAACCCTTGCTCCAGAAACCTGGCCTTGATCAAGATGCACTGTCAAATTTTAGGCCCATTTCCAAGCTGCCTTTCATGAAAAACTATTCTGGAAAAAGTAGTGCACAAAAATTGTTCTTGGATGAACATAACGTCTTGGAGGTCTTCCAGTCAGGTTTCAAGACGATGCATAGCACAGAGTCAGCCCTGTTACGCGTTTCTAATGACATCCTCCTGGCAAATGACAGTGGAGACTACTGTGTCTGGTTTTATTGAATTTAACTGCAGCATTTGATACAGTGGATCACAGTGTTCTGATGGCTCATTTGCAGCAACTGGTGGGCATTGGCGGTAGCGCCCTTGAGTGGTTCAGGTCCTATTTAGCTAACAGAACCTTTTGTGTTAGCCTTGGTTGCGCTGAGTCACGAACTGCCCCACTGTCGTGTGATGTTCCACCGGGCTCAATTCTGGGGCCTCTGCTGTTCCCACTGTATCTGCTCCCATTGGGTTCCATCTGAAGGAAACATAGTATTTCCTTCCACTGCTATGTGGATGACTGTCAGATCTATGTCCTGCTGAGCAAAAAAGAAGCTTTCTCATTAAGGCCACATTTATCCTGCCTGGAGGAAATCAAAACCTGGATGGCACTAAATTTCTAGAATTCCAATGAAATGAAGACAGAAGTGATGATCTTTGGCACCAGTGGCCCTTTTACATCCCGTCCTGTAGACTTGGGCCCCCTGGCGCCTAATCTTAAACAAACAGTCTCAAACTTGGGTCTTAAAGTGGACTTTTATCTTAAAATTGGACCCGCAAAATTGGTGCTATTGTTAAATCCAGCTTCCTTCATATTAGGCAGCTGGCTAAATGAAAGCCTCTCCTTTCTGATGAGCACTTTGAAACAGTATTTCATGCTTTCGTCACATCCCGGCTGGATGACTGTAATGCTCGTTACTTTGGAGTCAGCCAATCCTCCATTAAATGTCTCCAGTTGGTCCAGGATGCTGCTGCTTGCCTCTTGACTGGTAAGAGGGAGTACATAACTCCTCCTCCGGCATCTCTTCACTGGCTCCCTCTTATTTGTTTTTAAATCTTTAAATGACCTCACTCCACCTTACCTCCCTGAGCTTCTCCGCCGGGCCCGAGCACTCCACGGGCAAAGAAAGGAGCCAGTCAAGCCTCCTGCACTCGGTGCTAGAATGGCCGAGATGGCTTGACTGCCTCCAATCGCGATATTGCTTCTTACACTAATATCTTAATTTTACCGCAAGTTTAAAACAAGACTACAGAGCTAAAAAGTGCAACATCATGTTCATATAACATAAATCAATCAAAAATAGATTTTAGTCATTTCTTCAAGAACCGTTAATGGTGGAGCTTATCGACACTTCACTCTTAGTTAATTCAGCCCTGAAGCCAGATGAGTAACAGGGCGTTTACCTAGTTCCCATTTTGCAATGTACCACCGTACTTCTTCAGTACATATTTACAACTGTATAATCTGCTTTTACATGCTAAAAGGAGATATGCTGTGATGCAACATTTAACTGAAATTACTCCTTTCTGTCATAGTGCTTTCCATTAACATCTGAAATTGAAGGCTGTAGGAGAATTATCCATCTGTCAGCTTCAAGACTGGAAGAGCACCTCTCTCAGGACAAAAAGTAAACACACACACACACACAAAATGTGTATATTCTGTGACAATGGTCAACACTGCTGTTGTTGATTTTGTAAATCTGTTTCCCAGTGAATTGTCAGAGGCAGCCTATGAGAAGCTGGCTGATGAGACGCTGGATGCACTGGCTGATTACTTTGAAGACTTAATGGATGAACCTTTCACTGGACCAGACTATGATGTTGTGCTCTCTGTAAGTCAGTGTTGATCATTCTTCCTGAGTATCTATGTTCATATTATTACATTGGACATGGGGAAAAGAATCACTGCACAAATAATATATTTTAATAATTGTTCAAAATGTGACAGACCAGGTAGACCAGAAAAAGTATGAAATGCGTTCATCTCCAACAATCTCTCTACTGACAGTGGCCAATCTCTGCATAAGTCTCCAACAGATCTGTGCAGCTATGAATGTTTGGCTAACTAGATTTTTATTTTTTTTTTTAAAGAAGGCAATTTAGACAAGTCTATAACAGTCCACGTTTTTTTTTTTT